AAAGGGAACATTAAAAGCGGTTTTATATTTGTCTTCCTCTTTCACCCCAATTTGATAATATCCTGATTTCATATCAAATTTAGAAAATATAGATGCATGGTTTAATCTTTTAATAAGATCTTGTTTATTAGGCAAAGGATATCTAATCCATTTTAATACTTTATTTAATGGTTTATAATTTATGACTAATCTAGGTGCTCCTCTTTCTTGTTTAGTAGCATTCATAACATAAAAGGCTGAACAACTCCAAGGAGATTTAGAATTTCTTATTAATCCTTTATCTAAATATTCTTGAATTTCTTTTTTACAATATTCTAAATATTGAGTATTGGTCTTGCTTTAGTATTGATAGTTTTTTTCATCAAAGTTATCTATATAAGGTAATGAAACTTCATATTTTTTACGATGCCAAAAAGCTGTCGAATTTAATTCACATATTTCTTTTTCAATTTTATCATTAATAACCTTTATAGTTTCTTGCAGATTTTTATTTTGTAATTATTCTTCAATTCTTTTATATTGAATCTTTTTAGAAATAAAATTAATATGTTTCTTTTTATTAGTAATAATACTAGTAGAAATTTCTTTTAGAAGATTTAATTCTCTTGATCGTGGAGGATATATAAATTCAAAACATAAATTATTATCTAAAATATTTGTTTCTAATCCTTTTTCAGTTACTGTAAAGGGATATAATAGTGATAAAAAGGGTGTTCCTAATATGCAAGGAATATTCATATTTTTTTACTAGAACAAATGAGGTTTCATAACATATTTTATTTTTACAAATTTTTGCTGATGAAAGCTTGTAATTAATTTTCATATGAGAGTTGTTAGCACTTAATACCTTTTCTGAAGTTTTTTCATAATATTTTGAGGGAATAATTCCTTCTTGTAAACAGTTAATATCAGCTCCAGAGTCAATTAAAGCAATAAGATTAAATTCATCATTTTTAACAAGTAATTTAATAGTACAATGCCATTTATGAGTAGTAATAAGGTTTAAGTAATTATTATCTATTGGTGGAGTACTAGATGTAGAGGTTTGATTAATATTAATTAATTGTTGGGTTCTAAGTTTTTCTATTCCTTCTAATTCTAATAATCTATATTGTATTTAGATATTATTTTGTTTTAAATTAGTAATTTCATTTTTTAATGTTTTTGCTTCTTCTTGTAGATCTTTAACAGTTATAGGTGAAGGTTGCCTAAATCTAGCATATATTTCCTTTAAATTTATTTCTTTATTTTCTTCTTATTCTTTTTCATCCTTTTTTAATAATTCTTCTAATTTTGCTATAAATTATGTTCTTATAGGACCATCTTCTAATTGTGATATAAGATCAATAAGAGTATGGGTTTGTTCAGAAGTTAACATATTAATAGTTTTGCAATCTGTACAGGTACATAGTTCTGGACCTAGACAACATTCATCTTCTTGACTAGAATTAGAATCTTCCTCTTCTAGTTGATAAATAATTTCGGTATTGCTTTCTTCATCGGATGTGGAATCACTTTCTTCTGATTCAGAATTAATCATTATAATTATAAGGGTTTTCTTTAATGATTCATCTATTTCTAGTTCATTAATTTTATTTTGTATTTTACATTTGTTGGCAAAGTGTCCAGTACGTCCACATTTCCAACAAGTAATATTTTTCTTTTGAGATGTTTTTCTATTGGGTTTTGAAACAGTGTTGGGCTTTTTTGAATAAGTCTTGTTTGTTTTATAAGGTTTTTTATAAGGCTTTTTATACTTTTTGTAAGGTTGTTTTTTATAGGGTTTCTGGTCATAGGTTTGTCTTTTTTGAGTTTTTCTTCGGACTGCACTAGGTGCTCTAATAGGTTCTATTCCATATTGTTCACAAAAATTTCCTATTTCTTTTCTATTGGTAGATACTTCTTTTCTAAGCTTATTTTGGAGTTTGAAATCATTACAAACTTGTATTCCGGTTTCAACAATAATACTATGAATTTGTCCATATGTAAGACTATGATATGGTATAGGATTTCCAAAGTGACTTTCAAGTTTCATTTTTACTTTTTCAGAAAATAATTTAGGTAATCTTGCAAGGAATCTTTCCTTCCAGAATCCCTGAAATCCATCTTCTCTTAAAGTAATTTTTGACATAAAAACATCCTTATACCATCTATAATCAGACATTTTTGGACAGTAAAGATTAGCTAGCTAACTAGCTGCTCTTTCTTTAAAGGTATTGGGGTCTCCTACAAAATGTTGAATTATCGTATAGATAAGAGTTGCAACTGCATCCTCTTCTCTAGTTTCTTGTTTGACTGCATTTAATATGGCTTCTCTGTTAGCAGGACTCCAGATATTATCCCACCATCCTTTAAGCTGTCCGGTGAACCCTTGTATTAAAGTCATAGCTGTGGCTTTATCAGAATTTCCATGTCTCTTATAGGCACTAGCTGCCATGGACATTTGACAAATAAAATCTAATATATTTTTTTCACTCATTCCATCTATGTTCCATTCACAGATGTCACCTCCCAAATAACTATTTTGAACTTATTCTCCTCTTTCTTCAAAAAGAACGTCGGCAGGAGAAGGTCTTGGATAATAGGTTCTTGTTTTAGGATAGGTGGTTTTTGTCTTATTAAGAGAAAGATCATCTATTGTGTTAATAGATGGTTTTCCTAATGTTAATTTGGATAATAATTCTTTAATCTCTTCTATTTTTGTATCACTTTCATTTCCTAAATTTATTGTATCTAATTTAGTATTAAGTTGATATATTGGTTTAACTAATGGTTTTGGTATGCTAGTAATCATACTACTAGAGGGTTCATCTTTATCTTCTATGCGAGTTAATTGTTTTGACATGGTTTCTAGCATAATATTAAAAAAGTTTAATTGAGAATGTAATTTTTTAATATCCTTTTTATTAATATCATGTTCTTTTTCATTAATAGTTTTGAAAGGACATGCTTCTATTTTTATATCTTCTATGACTATCTTAACTGTTGAAGTCGGAGGGTATTCAGAAGTATGAATTTTATTGTCTATTATTTTCCAAGTTTTTATAGTTTTTTTAATGGGTTAATGGTTTTAATAATATTATGTTCTCTACTGCATTTTTCAAACCAATCAAAGAAATAAATATTAATTTCATTATCTTCCATAAACGAATAATATAGAGTTCTAAAATTAACAACTTCTTCTGTTGTAAAAGTAGAAAAATACCATTCTCTTAAAGGTTTATTGTAATCAACATTAAAATCTTCATTAATCCATTTTTTATCAATATTAAAAGTTTTTTGCCTAGTAAGTGTATTGAGTATTTGTGATCGAGTCGGATCAAAATCATCTTCTATTTTTATATTAGAATTATTTTCATAAACAGGTCTAGCTATTTTTGAATTAATATCTAATTTTGTTAAATCTATATTAATAGTGGATCCATCTTTAGAATGTCTAGAATTAGATCCTTTATAAATCATTTGAGGTAACGGATTTCTCAAAGAATTTGATCTATTCATTTTTAATCTAATATTTGTTCCATCTTGGATTATTTCTCTAATTTGAGTATTATATATTTTTGGTTATTCTATAATATTTTCTAATAACCAATCTTCTAGACTTTTAGAAATAACTTCAGCATGATTAAGACGCCTTGGTATTTGTATTGAGGATTTTCTTAGGTTTGCATCAACTAAAACAATTTCATTTTTAGGTGAAGATCTAAGAGCTTTATAATTATAATCTATTTTAGTAACTTTGTAATAAATTCTAAAAATGAGTTGAATAGGACCAGAATCTTCATCTAAGATTTCATCAGGGGTTTTAACATAATTTTAAAGCATTACTGGTTTTTGTATTTCTAATATTCATAGAAAAGTTTGGATAATAGTTAAAAAAGGCAGGGCCATCATGCATATCACTTTCTAATATGGCTATAATAGAATCTTGAAATTGTTTCATGCGAATATCTTGTAATAATAATAATATGAGACTGTTTATGCCTAATCTATAATTAGGTTTAGCAGCTACTTGAATTAATCCTAAATGCATGTAATTATACCCTTTTTTAATATACTCGTCTAATATACTTTGTTGTAATAGATTAATAATTTTATTGGTTTTAGTGCCAAGGGTAACAAAATTCTTAGATATGGATTTCATCTTGATTTGTTGACCAAATACTATGTTGTTTATAGACTTCACATTTTTTAACTATAGGTATTGACCAATTATGAAGAGAATTTTCTATTTCTGCTATTTGGAATTCGGTTTGGGAATGATCTTGAGAAGTACTTGAAGTATCTTCTAAAGTATTGGGAGTTCTCATAACTATTTGTTTATTTTTGTTTTTGGTTCCTAGATTGCTAATTGTTTCAAAAATTCTTGACAATTTTGAGGGTTCTTTGACAGTGGTAAAGGTGTGGCCTCTATCCATGGCTTATCAACGGATTTACTACCTCTCACTTAGGCTTTACTACCGGGAACACCAACAAGAGTGTATATATATATATAGAGAGAGAGAGAGAGGGAGCATATCAAGTGAAAAGGAATTTATTATGAGAGATGAGAGGGTTAAAATATAACCCTTAGATTAATTTTCTCTTACTTGATTAAACCCCAAATTTTTTCTCACTTATCTCATTTCTTATAATAAATTTCCTCTCACTTGATATGCTCCCTTATATATATATATATTTTAAAATATATTAAAATATGAATATTTGGATTATCTTTAAATTATTATTCAATTATAATAAAATTTAATATAAATATATAATGTGATATGAAGTTATTATTCAAAGGTTAAATCGACGAAATTCACATTTGATATAAAATTATAAAATAAATAATTGATAAAAGTTAATAGGTATATTTTATTCAAAAATAATTCATATTTTATATTAAACTCTATTTCAAACGTTGAATTAAAAGTTTTTAATATGTTGATCAAATTTATAAGTTTAAAAAAAAAAAATCACATGATATTTTATTATATATATTCAAATCAATGAATTAAATGCTTGATGCAGTGGCAAATATGCTGTTTTTGGAATCCCCTGCTGGCGTTGGTTTTTCCTACTCAAAGACTACATCTGACTATGATAAATTCGGAGATAAGTCAACCGCTAAAGATGCGTATGTTTTCCTCATCAATTGGTTAGAGAGGTTTCCACACTACAAAACCCGTGATTTTTACATTACTGGAGAGAGCTATGCTGGCCATTATGCGCCTCAGCTTGCATACACTATTTTGGTGAACAATAAACTCAGTCACCAAAATATTAACATCAAAGGCATTGCTGTATGTTCAAGGACTACTAGTGCAAATGATGCCTATATCATATCATACCACTTACCATCTCATATTTCTAACTTGTTGATTTGTACTGAAATTTTCAGATAGGGAATGCTTGGATTGATGATGTTACAGATACAAAGGGGTTATTTGATTACTTATGGACTCATGCTTTGAACTCAGATGAAACACATGAGTTGATTGAGAAGTACTGCGATTTCAGTTCTAGAAACGAGTCAACAAAATGTGCCAATGCTAAAAGTTGGGCCTTAATCGAGAAAGGAAACATAGACTTCTATAACATCTATGGTCCACAGTGTCATGACACTTCTCTGAAAAATGGAACCATTGGTTCTGTAAGTGTTCCTATATTTTAAAGTGCATTGTTGCTTAGTTGCATACAGGGTTGAACAAGTATAGGAACTTCATTTGTGTCTATATTAACACCAATTTAGAACCGAAACTGGCAGATGCAAATCATGGCCATCACATATCTTGTGCACTGTGCATTGCCATTTGAATCTCTTCTCCACCTTTTATACTGAACTAATGGATTACATATTAATATATTTCAAAAGTCTTGCTAACATGCTATGCAAAAAATATTGAAATGGAAGTATGAAACAGAAACCATGTTTACCACAAAAAAGTTAAGATGATCTTACTAAAGTTGGTCATTAATTACTTACTAGTATGATAAAAAGTGTTGCAGAATCCAAGAATTTTTCAATTTCAGTTATGGACTTCTCTACTGATATACAAAAAACCTGTGACACTTAAATTTCAGGTGTATGATTTTGATCCATGTTCTGATTACTACGTGAAAGCCTATCTAAATAGGCCAGAGGTCCAACTAGCTCTTCATGCACAACTCACAAATTGGAGCCATTGCAGGTAATTTAATATCTACAATAACTTAGGAATTGGAATTTTCTATCATTAGATGCTAACCAAACTTATGTAATTTTTGCAACAATTTACAGAGGTTATAAGTGGAAGGACAGTCCAACTACAATCATACCTACCATCAAGTATCTCATTGATAGTGAAATTAAATTGTGGATATACAGGCAAGTCCAATGTCATTATTATAAAGTATTAAATAATGCCATAACAAGTTGAATCAACAAGAAACATATGTAACTTTATACTTGAAAAAAAAATCTTTGAATACTTATCCATTCATTCTCATGAATTAGAATGTAACAAATTTTACCTATTTTGAGTTTCATGGAAATCTTATCATAATGACAAAATTCCCCTTTCCTACTCTGCTACCCATAAACCTGAGTTTGAAATCATTTAGTCCTTTAATGAGTTTTGAACTTTGCGTCTTTTTATTTAATTTTTTTTATTTTATTCCAAATCCTAAATTTTGTTGACTTGTTCTTCTATAGTGGAGATACTGATGCAAGGGTGCCAGTCACATCTTCAAGATATTCAATCAACACCCTCAAGCTCCCTATCCTGGAACCTTGGAGCCCTTGGTACGCTGGAACTGAGGTACTGAAATGTGTCTATTTTAGTTTTAGAATTAAAATATGTTGTTTTTGGTGCATGAAATTTTATCAAATATTTTTTAGCCTCCGAATAAATTTTATTTTGTCTTAGTCTCTGAAAGTTTTATCCATGAACTAAAAAATTTTACACCAGAGACCAAATCCAAAATATTAATGTTAAAATAGTTTAGAGATTAGAAGTAAAAATCAATAAAAATTTAAAGACTAAAATTAGTAAAAAAAAAAATTGTTCAAAGACTAAAAAAAAAAATTGACAAAAATTCAAAGACTAAAATATTTAATCCTTATTTTTACGTATTTTTACTCATCTCTTGCATTTTATTCACAAAAATAGCAAAAAGATTTGAGTAATACTCCCGACACAATCTTTTCCTGTCACAATACACAGTTGATCACTGAAAAAGATCATAAAACTACGCATGAAAATTTTCATTGATCAAGGAGATTGCACAATTATTCGGTTTTCCAAGGGTACCAAATAAACAGTAAAAATCTATTAACTTGACTAAGCTTGTATTAGCCATTTCATAAATTCTGAAGCATTAAAGTCCAAATGTCGTATCTAATTGTTTGAATTAATAAAGTTTATGATACTTCGAATTAATAGCATATGATTAAAAAAGACCTTATTTGAAACATAGTCAACTTCTCTGATAGAATCACAATCACAGATTGGAGGATACATGGTGAAATACAAAGGATTAACATTTGTTACGGTGAGAGGAGCTGGACACTTAGTTCCAAGTTGGAAGCCGGTAAAAGCTTTGGTTTTGATTCTTTCATTCCTTAGCTGAAGTTTACCTCCTCTTTCATTAAAACTTGTGTGATGCATTTTTCAGATGATTATGATTCCATTTGCCACAACAAACTGTGGTTTTATTTATTCTCTACTTAAATTTTTAGTATCATATGTAACAAATATTTATGAATACGATCATGAATGGCACGAAAATTTGAATAAAAATGTCAAAGACAGAATACCTCCCAGCAAGACCATACAAAATGGGTTAGCAATAAATTGAAATTTTCAAATGAAAGGAAGAAGGGACTATTGAGGACCTCGTGAAAAGAGTAGAGTTTTATGTATCTTATAACTAGTGGATAGTAATGTTAGTTAATTGTTGTTAGTTAATATGACACTAGTTTGTATCTTTTGTTCATTCAATCCAATGTCATACTTTTATGGAAGTCTCGTGCTCTAATTTGAGCTTGTCCATTATGAATTTTTCCGATCAAATGCAAGATAGTTGTGCTGAAGCCATGTTCGAACTTACAACTGGTCTCTTCGTATTCATCCACAACCTTGTGTGATGCATAGGAGAACTCGTGCGTGGGTAGAGATGTTGAGCACTAAGAGGGTCCCACACACATCTCCATATTGCTTTTCATGTGAGGATAGAGATGTTGATATAAGAAGGGTCTCACACGCATATTCATATTAATATGATATAGTTAATTTTAGACTTAAATCTCATGAATTTATTTTGTAATCCTCACTTTGTTGTAAACAGAACATGAAAAACAGATATACATGACAAAATAAAACATAGAGGCTCAAATTTAAAAATATACAACATTAGACATAAAAAAGAGACAAAAATTGATATGATATATTTGAATTATGAATTTAATTGTTCATACTTTGAAAATATTTACGGCAAGTGTTTAAATACTATAATTAATTAACCTTTGATTAGATAAAGTAAACAATAAAATATGACTAAGTTAATAAGAAAAAATCACTTGTTTGTATAATTTACTTTTTCTAAACATAAGTAACATTTAACCAAACTTACAAACAAAATAAAAAAATACAGAAATATTAAAAATATTTTATTATGACAGTGGAAAAATTTCAACTGCCAACACACAATTCCAATTACAACATCAGCAGCACCTTGAATGGGAAGAAGGTAACGAGGGATTTGAAAGAGTTGACCGTGAGAGGCGTGGTTATAGGATTAAGAATATGGATTTGAGGAGTTTCAACAGTCATGGAGAAAGGGTTTGGTTGTAGTGGTTGTCGTGTGGGTGACTAGAATCTTGAATTGAAGATTGTTTTCCGTTTGAGTGGAGTGTAATCCTAGTTTTTCAGTAATGGTTTGAAGGGTATCATCAAGTTATTTGGATCGATGATTAGGGAGGCATGATAAGAGAATCAAAGCACCAAATTGATCTAAAGGGAACAAGCTAATAGAACAACATATCGAGGAGAAAACAAGGTAATTTCATTCATGATATATACTAATCGCTAGAAATAGAATAATATAAAGTAGGGGACCAGTACCGGTCTACAGATCCTAAACGGCCATCTGGGGATTCTGGACTAAGGAAAATAAACATGGTTCATGATATATAT